AAATGGCAGCCAACATAAAATATGATAAAATGCACATTTTTTTCAGAAAATATTTTAGGTTATTATTATGTTAATAATAATTGAGATAAATATTCGCCAAGAAACGTAGTTCCTTTAGAGTATGGTACTGTTGCCAAGCAACCATGGGCCGCTGAATGAGGAGAACATTCGGTCGCCCATCGCTGTATATTTTGTGCATTTCATGACTTTTTTTAACTATTTGTTGTATAACAATGAACATTTGATAACACAGCACTGTTTAATGCAAAAACCAAAAAAAGTACATTTTGGTCACCAAATTACCACCACGAGTCTTATTTAGCACCAATCCAGCGGTGCCTCTCTTCTCATACTGGGGCTGTTTCTAAACTTTCACAGCTAGAAGACTATTAAGGGAGTACGGAGCCGTTTGGGATTCAGCCTGAGTTTGATGCAACTTCTGACCAAAACATAAACATTTTAAACGTAATACATTCAGGTGACATTTTTTCTAGACTTTCATTCTGCCGTTTTACAGTTAATCATACCGTAGGTACTTTAATTCAGGCCTGTGATATTAAGTTGTTTAGGCTGTTGCTGTCTTTTAGTCTGTAAGCTAGCTGACCAGACGTTCTGGTTAAGGACATAAGCTGTCAGCCTCTCAGTTTAAACAGAAATCAGTACACTTCATCAGTACACTTGGTGGTCCATGCGAGCAGCATGAAAGTCAAAGATTATTTCATTAACAGCACAGGGGCTTTTTTGTGCCGTGGCGCAGTAATACACAATTCACCATACACCAGTCAGACTTTAGGACCAGAACTATTCGTTTTATAACGATCATTATGACATAATGTGATGTAATTAAATAAATATTGTCCTGTTGCCTGCTCTACTGTGTTATCAGCAGTGCCATTGTCTTGTTTTTCAGACAGTACTTATATTCCTTCTCCAGCCTAAATGTCTAGTCTCTTTTACTATAGTGGATAAAACACAGTCTTGACAGGAAAAATGGGTGTTTTAGCTCTTTTGTTAGTAGTACAAAGTGTATTTGTAATTCTAATCGCACCAGTGGGGTTACAGTCTACAGAGAGCATCCAGGAACCATCACTCTGGTGTAATCACAATCCTCAGCGGGTTAATTGTCTGTCAAACAGCACAAGCATTTGCATAACAAAAGTCAGTTCATTTTTTTGTTGAAATGATTGACCTACACGCTTTGACAAGCTTCTAAAAAATTTTCTCTTGAGGTTTTTTTCTGTAAAGGAGCTGCTTTTAATGTCAAACAGAACAAGACGTAGATGACTGGGTCTACGGGATACTACAGGCCTTGCTAAAGTGTAATCCTAGATGTAAACCACATTCCTCACATTTATGGAGGTGTCTAATGATATTAGATATAAGTCTGCAGGTATTTGACATTTAACCATGGCTTCTTTTTTGTAAACAGCTGTAAACCTGTGGCCTTGCCTCACCGAATTGAGATGTTTTTGCTAACTGAGCTCTCAAAAAGTGCCAGAAAAATATCTCTAAAACTGATTTAGACAACTTGCACATGCTGGAAGTTCACATTCACTGTACGCAGCTGAGTTTAATTAGCCCTACACTGAAATTCACACCACCCTCATTTCCATCTGGAGAGAGGTGGGCATAAATGTCACATTTGCTCCAACTGACACCTACAACCCTTCAGTGAGTTAAATTAATTAGCCGTACATTGGCCTAAATCCCTAAAGCCGCAGCAGTATCTGCTCCTTATTGAGAAGTTTGGAGGAATTTATCCAGGAGCATCCAGCATTTTTACTCTCTATGTGTGAAATAAAGGGACTGTGTGGATGTGTGGTTTGTGTTGCAATTTTTTACTTCAATATTTTAATCCTTAATCTTTACCTCACCTTTCAGATTTTATGGTACTCCTTAACTCTGTCCTAAAGAAATCTGCAGTTCATTTATCTCAGTCACATGGGTCCAGCTGGGGAATGTTGGCTAAATTTCTTCAACTTGTGCCTTTCTTAAAAATTTCATGTAACTTCATAGTAAAATAGTAGAAAACAGTTCATTTTTATCCAGCTGGATGTAAATGAGCAGTGTAAGTGTTCATTCAACTCTGTGGACTTGGCTGCGCAATAATAATATTAAAAAATACAGAGTTCACCTACGGACAGGTATGTGCCCACTATGACTCATACTGTACAAGGACACTGTGAATGCTCAATACACTGCCAAAGAATGACAGCGTTTCTCTTACTCTCCTCTCGTCTGTTCCTTTATATATGATCATTTAAGGTCTTGGCAAATGCGTAATTTACAGGGTGCCCACCACTGTGTGCCCACTGCATTCTGTTGGAATAGGCCTTTTTCACAAGAAACGGAAGTGAGTAAACGCTGGGTAAAAGAAGTTCTGCTATCGCCTTACAGACACCTATTAACCTCAAAAATACAAGCGTTCGTATCACTTCAGCTCGCCACAGAAAGGTGTCTCACTTTATCCGTGTCATAGTTGTCATAATTGGAATTTGAGGATGTGTTTCCAGAACACATGACAATGTGGGAGTCCAAACTAAATAAACAATATAAATGCTTCACAGAGTACAGTAACGACAGCTAACGTCTTCAGAGTGATAAATCAGTGGACAGGAAAAATAACTATCACCAAAACGCTAGATTAGCCATGTTAGCTGGAGATGCTGAAACAGCTTGCTAACAATAAACTAGCTGGCAAAAAGCTAAACATGCACACATGCTGTCAGGGGTCAGGGTCAGGGTCTGTAGCACCACTGTAGATGTTTTCCATAAACACAGGCGCCAGTGAATGAACATCTATCTCTCAGATACTGACAGTTTTTGAGGGAGAAAATGAAAACTGCTCCTCTGAAAGCGGCTGCAGCAACAACATTAAAGCACAAACTGCCCGCTAATGTTATGCAGAGGTCAGATGCTGACACAGAGGTTCTTTTGATCCGTTTATTCCTTCGTTAATTGCACAAACTTATTTTTCCTCATCATCAGCTCACAAATCATGGAAACTGAGATAAGGCTGTTTTTTTTGCTGTTGTCGGAAGAAAACCTTGTATCTCCAAAAAGATAATTTTGCAGGAAAAGGAAAAACCTGCTTTACTTTTAATGTAAGTCAATTGTCAAGTCGTTTTGGGCCGTTTCTTTTGGTCGATTCATCATGACATTTAACACACAATGTAAAGAGAAACAAATGCCAAAAACTGAAAAACGACAAAAATAAAGATATGAGGTTTTCTTCCAGCAGCGTTTTGCTTCAGACTCAAACACTTGAGTAAGCTGTACATGCTCTACTCATCGTTGTTGTTGCTTTAGCAGAAACAGCGTTACTCTGCAACGAGAACCTCCTGCAGAAAAAATGCAGAAGTGTGAAAAGGGCCTATTGTTAAAAATATCTCTAAAAGCTGAGTAGAACCCCCATTCAGAGGAAAAGTCCAGCCAGTCATTCCTTGTTATGTGACTTCACATTCTATCAGAAAAAAGATACAAAACTGTCACTGGAGTGCTGCTCTCAAGGGTACACTTTCAGTACCTTTAGTTAGGGAATATAACTGTACCATGTTTTATTGCAATTCAGTAGGTTATGAGAAGTTAAGTTACACAGTTGTATTTAAAGAACATTGTTGTATCTTTGAGGTCACATGTACATTGTTTGCACCTTAGTTATCAAAAATATACCTTTACAGTATCTTTTTTCTGTCAGTGCACCGGAATTATATCTAAGAGTTTAACAACTTAAATTTCTCAACTTTTTGTTTAACCTCTTAACATTCCAGGCTTATTACATACTAAGCCTTATTTTTTAGTAACTACAGGGACTTTAATCCAAACTAATGGAGTTATTTTTTGGTTATAGATGTGTGTTAAGGGGTTAAATTGCTTCCATATACAGCTCCACTTAGATGTGGCCATTTTGTTTACCGTGAGACCCAACATCAGCTGCTTGTGTCCCCACATACTCTGCAGTTCTACATCACATGCTCAGTCAGAAACTGTTTCATGTTATTTTTTTCAGAATACACATGCCTCATTTGAATATACAGTTATCCAAATGAACAGTAAGATGAGGATACTCTACTAACCACACCCATCCCTGCCAAAAATTAAAACGTGATTAAAACTGTATATTTATTAGTTAATCGCATGTGGAAAGATGAAAAAGTGTGGCTTCATCTTACGGTACTTGCTGGAGAGGGATTTACTTTTTTTTTTTTAACTGCATAAAAATATTGTTTAAGAACGCAGAACCTTTTGAAGCATATTCTTAATATCACTATAGTGAGTTCAGCATATTCAGCGGAACATAACGTGGCCTGCGGTGTTGCTAGAATGACTGACAGAAGCTGGTTTTGTTCACTTAAGGTTACTGAATGTCATGGCTCTGGGGTTTTGCTCCCTCTCTGTATTGTAGCTCTGCTGTAGCTACCCCTCCCCCATCAGGGGTTTGAGTGGTCTCTCTGGTCCTGTTGTCCCTCTGTATGATCAAATTCACTGAGTCATATCCATAATTGACTGTTACTTTAATTATGAAATATGAAGATAGCAGTGAGAAAGGATCCACTACTTAAAACAGGCTCAGGGCAAAGATAATTAATAGAGCTCCAATAATAGAATATGAAGCTGTTTTGTAGGCTTGTATACGCAGCATTTGTGGAGTAGCCCTTTTAGTGCTATTATAAGTTGTGCAGCATAATAAAGTATTTTGTGAACTTCATTCAGAAGGATGTTTAGTAGCTTAGTGTAGTTGATTTTTTGCATATTCTCTGTCTATCACGTTGTAATTATAGAAATTGATAAATGATGCATAGGAGCGTGCTAGTACACAGTAATTAATCATTGTTTGTAGCCCTCCCACTTAACACTTCAGTTCATATATGCTCAGATAAACTATGACAAATCCTGCCAATGGATGGCTTTTTGTAAGATGCTTTTCTTTTATATAAGTGAGAAACTGTAAAAAATCCACTTTCTGCGCTCCACTCACTCTTTCTTCATCTGCCTTTGTCACAGACCACCAGTTAACTCCTTGGTCACCTTCCCGACACTTCAATGAGGACAGACGCGTCCCTCAAACCAGGAACATGAAGGGCTTATCCAGCAGCCGTGCCCAGCACCAGATCCCCTCGCCTCACCCCTGCGGCCTGGTGGAGTGTGACCACCCCCACGACTTGCACGGCATGCACGTGTCTGACCCCCGCTACTCCTACCTGCTCAGCCCCACGGAGAGCTGCGCCATGGACTACCATCACCGCTACTCGCCCCGCAGCTCCATTCACTCCGACTGCATGACGATGTCCCCGGTGATGCTGCCTCCTGCTGCCGCAGCTGACCACGTCTCCAGCAGCACCTTTCCAAGAATGCACTACAGCACCCAGTACTACGACTCAGCCACGCGAGACGACTGTGCCACCATCACCACCTCCGCCACTTCAGCTGCTGCCATCGCCGCCGCATCCTCCGCCTCTCATCATGCCGGCAGCAAAAGCAACCGCATCCCAGCTAACCTCCTGGACCAGTTTGAGAAGCAGCTGCCTCTGCACCGAGACGGCTTCCACACGTTGCAGTACCAGCGCACCTCCACCACGGCCACCAGCGAGCAGCGCAGCGAGAGCCCTGGGCGAATACGCCACCTGGTGCACTCTGTGCAGAAGCTATTCACCAAGTCCCACTCGCTCGAGGGCTCCTCCAAGATGAACGGCACCAAGGGGGACAGTGGGGGCCACCACCACCACCACCACGGCGGTCACCATTCCTCCAAGCACGGCAGCAAACGCAGCAAGAGCAAGGAACGTAAGCACCGCTCAGGCGGCTGGTGGAGCTCTGACGATAACCTGGACAGCGACAGTACCTACCGCACGCCCAGCGTCATGAGCCGGCACCACGTGGAGCACGCAGGCCACTGCTTCCCAGACTCAGTGCACACTCACTTTGGTGACCTCTCGCTTAAAACCTCCAAGAGCAACAATGACGTCAAGTGCTCAGCCTGTGAGAACCTGGCAATGGCACCTGAGGGAAAGTTTATGAAGAGGAGCTCCTGGTCCACACTCACTGTCAGTCAGGCCAAAGAGGCATACCGCAAGTCCTCACTCAACCTGGACAAGCAAACGGTCCATCACGACCTAAAGCCTTCCCTACGCACCAGTCATTATCTGCAGGTGAGTAGCATGTTCAGTTGATCTTGGGCTTTAAAACTGGGGTGATTGGGCCAGAGAAGTTGCCAGTTCAGATGAGACAAGTGATGGTTGAATGATTGTTTGGATCCTAAACTGGGATCAAGGACGTATGAAGCATAAGATGTATCAGCCAATAATAGTCATAATTTTTAGATGGGTCATTCTCCATTTGGAGTGGAAAACCATGTCACAAATGTTGCAGGGCTTAAAAAGATGCCTAAAATATTAGGCACAGCTCCAAAAGTCAGTATGTACATTTACACAGTTGACCTAAGATTAAATAAACCTTTTCCCTTATGATTTCTCTGGATTTTTAGACTCATGCTTACTTTTTATACAATTATTGTTATACTACATTTGAAAAAAAAATGTATTTTATTAAAAAAAATTATTTATCACAGAGATTTTGGTCACTGGTGTTATCAGGACTCTTATGTTACATTTTAACACAGTATTTTCAGCTCTGTTAAACTGCTTCTTTGGGTCGAGGCTCATCAGAGAGGAAGCATCTTAAGGCATGAGAATCATTATATTTCATTAATTTATTAATGATTTTGTTTATCAGGCAGTATCACTGGTGTTATGTGCTTTAATGGCTGGGTAATTAAAATGTTGTCAAAATAATTTGTCATTTTATTACTGATTTTAAAAACTTGCACAAGGTCACCTGACCACCAATGAGTCAGCTAATTTACAAAATTCTCTATTTTAACCAGAATTTTCCCAGAACTTTCTATTAGACAAAATCATAATGTAAATAACATGTAAGTAACATTATTTGCTCTTTAAAATGCAAAACTTTCATTTTAAATCCTTAAATGAAAAATCTAATAGCTGTTTTAATAACATGTAATCAAATAAAGCATTACATTGAAATTAAGAGGGAACTGGTTGTTTGGCTTAACGAGACATGTATAATTATGCTATGATGTTTTGGTAGAGGTGTAGCAGCAGCATTCAAATACTCATTAAATTATTAATTTCATAAAACTGCAACACATATCGGGCAAAATCAAAATGGTAAATTGGCAGATTGCCAAATGCTGGTTTGCAAAAATCCAATTCAAATATTGGCCGATTCTGACTGTGCACCTCTAATATTCATTTCTAATGTACGGTTGAAATGAATGTGCTGGTTTTCCAGTGTTAAGGTCCTGAGGAAGAACTGCTTCATCATCTCCTAGCTGTGTTCTTTAGTGGACATTAAGTTTGTCCAAAATGAAAGTGGTTGGAACAGATGGTGACCTGATGGTGATCCTGTTCATTTTTTTTAACCTGGACCGTCAGTGGATGTGAGGTGTCAGCCACTGATTTACTCAGCAGGCTTGACAGCGTGTATGATTTTGCCCTGCAGTGAGTGGCTGAGGAGACAAATATGAAGAAGGTGATGATGGTTTCATTAATGACTCTGCATCTTTGCATGACTGCAGTGGTCCTAGTTGGATGTGTTGCCTGGCCTTCTTTGTGATGGAGATGACAGTTGCTTCCCAGCTGAGAGCATCAGGCTTGATAATCTTCATGAATTGAATGGTATTTGGAGGATAGTAATTGGGTTCAGTTTCGCACATTAGAAGATTTTAGAGTTCCAGAGGTTATTTTTGGGGGCGGTTAATGTTTTTCAGAGCACTTCCAGCTGCCTTTAACATTGTGAGAGCATTTTATAAAGAATCAACCAGGTCTAAATCTGGTTACATTAACGCATGTTAAAGTTAAAATCATCATGTCTGTCTCTTGTGAATTTACTGTTTCAGAGATACAAGGTTTTGCTGCAATAGTAACAACATGCATATTTAAATGTTTTGACAGGGTGCATTGACTGATATATTGATTGAGCAGCAACTTTTGTCACAGGAGAAGCCTTTATTAATGTGGTGCACACTCGATACCAGTAACACTGTATCTGTCTGCTCTGTGCACCTGGGAGCCATTGGTGATTTAGATGCATAGATCAATAAAAGGTGAAGCAGTGGTGAATGACTGCATGATTTCACGAGTTTCCATGCAGTACAAAGTGCAGTACACACATTGTATCTATGTGCCCTTAGTAAGTATGCAAAGCTTGTTGGTGAAAGAAATGTTCTCGTTTTTATATCTTTTATTTTACTACAGTAAACAAAAATAAGTCTGTTTGAGTGAGGGACTCACAGAAGACAACACAGCTTATCAAGCCTGATTGCTAATTTGTCATTTACAGAATTGCTGATTTTTTTCCCCAAAAAAAGTTCATCATATTAATTGTGATGACCGTATAAAACAATTTTATCCCAAATCCTGGTGTATTTTTTCCATTTTCTTTTTCTCTGCATTTTTCGTCTTATTGAATTCATTTTTTTTTTATTTTTACAATATAGAAATGACACTTTAATCTCTTTATTGAAACTATTTTTGACTAAATAACATCAGTAACATCAAGAAACATTTGGCTCATACATGCAGGTGTTTTCGGTCTGCTTCACTTTGTAAGTCCCAAAACACACCCTGTGTGACCACTAGAACGCTCAAGTATATGCAGCTGCTGCTTCTGTCGCAGTACAGCAGCAACTGTTGCAAAGTGAAGTGGCGTGGATGTCTAAACTAAACCTGCGATAAATAATTTATTCTCATCATTTTTCATATATTAACAGTCTCTGTCATTGTTAAAGGCCTTTCCTAATAAAAGGAGTTGTAGTTTAGGCAACAATTTTTGTGGCTTGAAAAAAAGACTAGAATCGCGTACCAACGCGACAGATAAATGCCTATATATTTCACACTGTTCTACATCCCAGACGAGCCCCCAAATTCTGTTATGACCCGGTCTAGGGTCAGGCTGTAAAAGACTGGTGTGGTGTACAATGTATGCTTTGTGAATGTGAGTGTCATGCATAATAATAAGACCAAATACAGCTAATGGTTCTTAACAGCAAATTCAGTGTATCATACACCTGTACAGTGCAATCACCAGTTCGTCTTCAGGTTTGGCCAAAACAACAAACAGAACCTACACTCCAAGACTAAGTAGCCTTAACCAAAACAAAAGAATACTCAAAACACAGCTTACCTAACTCCCTGACAAAACGAGGTCAAAACAAAGCAGTCAAAAGGCCAAACAGTTAGAGGTTAAACAAGCAAACAAACAAATGAGGAACATGAAACAAGTGAGCAAAAACTCTTGGGGGAGCCAAGGAGGCCTCTTTTATTCTTTCTGCCTTACAATGTCATAACCAGAACATAACTGAAGCATGGATTGGAGTGGGATGTGATGAGTTGAAAACACAGACTGGATTATGGAGTGAGGCTCCAACTGGTAAGACAGAACAGAAAACAAAAACAAAATATGGAGCATAACAGTTTTTCATTTATTCATGTTCTCTGTATCATGGAAATCATATGACCCTTCACTGACAAAACGAATTGAAAATTTCTCCTAAATTGGCAAGACATGGGAACTCCAGGTTCAGCCTCTGTATAATGATGGGGTGTGTGCCAGGTGTCAGCAAGCAGTGGAGTCAGTTCATTATTTTCATATGAGTACAGTGTAGGTCATATTTTCTCCAGTAATTCCTAGAACAGCCCTGCACTGCACTGTATTGTTTCCTCTGCTGCAACTATTCTGACTGATGATTCATGAAATAGTGGACGATTTGCAGTTCACTAAATTTCACAGGACGGAGCTGTAACTAGAAGGACAAATGAAGAATATTGGATGAAATAAAGGGACTGATGTATCCTGCTGTGGGTTATTGGATCAGTTCTAATGGTGTTACTGACTGATTCATCTAAAGATTTATTACATGTGATGCATGTTTTGGTGATCTTGTTTTCAGTTTCCTTCTTTTATTGTTTTAGATCTGATTTATCACTCTATGTGATTCCACCTGTGAACTTTATTCATATTTGGCAATTTTAAACCTACTGCTGAGTCAGATCAGTGCTGTAGCATTTTTGTAATGATAATTAAGGTTTTCTATAGTGTTTTTTTCCCGCGCACACTGTCTGATAACATAATCACTCACACTGTCTGATAACATAATCAATAAAACTCTTAAATAAAAGAAAAACATGAGTAGGCCAGGAAGACTAGCCTGTTTTATTAAAGGGGAATTCCTCTGAAAACAACATTAATGAATTCCAGAACTGTTCAAAGTGCTTCTTACTTGCTAACCGCTGTCAGCGATGCCTTTGTTGTGTAGATGCCTTGTTGTATATGCCTTGTTGATGCCTTTGTTGAAAGTAACCTCAACCTTATTACATAATGTGGAAACATGACGTGATGGTTGTCTGTGGAAAGTGAATAGGAGACTGATTTCATACCTTTCCCGAAGCTGTGGTCTGGTTTTATTAACTGCCCTTCATTCCTGATATACGCTTCATTAGGAACACTACACTAATACTGGGCAGGGCCTCCCTTTGCTCTAAGAACAGCCTCAGTTCTTCTTGGCATGGATCCCACAAGATGTTGGAAGCATTCTTTTGAGACTCTGGTCCATGTTGACGTGATTGTATCATTCACTTCCTGTAGATTTTTCAGGCGCACTTTCGTGCCGCATGTCTCCTGTTCTACCACATCCCAAAGGTGTTCTATTGGATTCAGATCCTGTGACTGGGAGGCCCCTGAAGAACACTGAACTCATTGTCATGTTAATGAAACCAGCTTGACACGACTTTTTCCTTGTGACGTGATGCATTATCATGCTGGAAGTAGTCATTAGAAGATGAATTGTGGCCATGATGGTAGGAACATGGTCAGCAATAATGCTCAAAAAGGCTGTGGCATTCCGGTGATGGTTGGTTTTAAAGCCCCAAAGTGTGCCAAGAAAACATTCCCCACACCATTACACCACCTCCACCAGCCTGGACTGTTGACATAAGGCAGGTTGGGTCCATGGATTCATGCTGTTAGAGCCAAATTCTGACCCTACCATCTGTGTGCCTCAGCAGAAATCCAGATTCATCAGACCAGGCTTGTTTTTCCAGTCTTTAATTACCCAGTTTTGGTGAGCTTG